TGTGGGGCTCTCCCCCTCGGGTGCTGCCTCCCGCTGTGGGGCTCTCACCCTCGGGTGCTGCCTCCCTCTGTGGGGCTCTCACCCCTTGACTGCTGCCTCCTGCTGTGGGGCTCTCACCCCTCGGGTGCTGCCTCCCGCTGTGGGGCTCTCACCCTCGGGTGCTGCCTCCCTCTGTGGGGCTCTCACCCCTTGACTGCTGCCTCCTGCTGTGGGGCTCTCACCCCTCGGGTGCTGCCTCCCGCTGTGGGGCTCTCACCCTCGGGTGCTGCCTCCCTCTGTGGGGCTCTCACCCCTTGACTGCTGCCTCCTGCTGTGGGGCTCTCACCCCTCGGGTGCTGCCTCCCGCTGTGGGGCTCTCACCCTCGGGTGCTGCCTCCCTCTGTGGGGCTCTCACCCCTTGACTGCTGCCTCCTGCTGTGGGGCTCTCACCCCTCGGGTGCTGCCTCCCGCTGTGGGGCTCTCACCCTCGGGTGCTGCCTCCCTCCCGCAGGTGCAGCGGTTCCTGGAGGCGGCAGGGCAGGCGCCGGACCTCGTGGAGCGATACTGCGGGCTGTACCAGCGCCTGCGCGGCGCCACGGAGGAGCTCTTTGGGCAGCAGGCCGCCTTCGTGCTGGCCCTGGGCCAGGGCTTCGCGGGGGCTTTGCTGCAGCTCTCCTTCCTTGCCACCCTGCACGTGAGTCGAGGGAGCGTGGCACCGGCACCGGGGTTGTGCCCTCAGCGGGCTGGGGAGGTTGCCCTGGCCCCCAGCCGCGGGGCAAGCTCTGGGTGGGTGGTCGTTCTCCCCCTGGGCCACTGAGCCCTGCCCTGCAGTGGCCCTGCCCGGTGCCCGACTGCAGCTTGTCATGGCATGGCCCCAGCCCTGGCGCGCTCTGGCCTTGGACTGGTGTCTGGGCACCCCCTGCCCGAGAGCCCCAGGGTTTGCCCCCCAGGGAGGTTGTGGCCACCCCGTGTCCCCCCTCCTTAGCCAGCTCTGTCCCTCTGCAGGTGAGCGAGCAGTTTGCCCGCTACCTGGACGGGCAGATCCAGGAGCTCCACGGGGCCGGGGGCAGCGCGGGGCCGCTGCAGCGGCTGCAGCAGATCCTGGAGCCCTTCGTCGTCTTCAGTGGCCTGGAGCTGGCCCACACCTTCGAGCACTTCTACCGGTGAGGGGGGCTGCGTCCCCACGGGGCGCTGCCAGGCCGTGTGCCTGGGGGTGTCTCTGTCTCCCGGCGGGCGGCTGGTGGCCACGGGGCTCGGGCCGGCCCCTGACCCGCTGCTGGTGGCCGTGGCAGGCACTACCTGGGTGACCGGCTGCTGGCGCAAGGGCCGTCCTGGCTGGAGGGAGCCATCGTGGAGCAGATCGGGCTGTGCTTCCCCAGCCGCTTCCCCCAGCAGATGCTGAGCAACTTGGCGGAGTCGGAGGAGCTCCAGCAGCAGTTTCACCTCTTCCAGCTGCAGGAGCAGGACAGGCGGCTTCTGGAGCTGGAGCCGGGCCTGGAGGAGGTGAGGGTGCCGGTGGGGTGGGGAGGCCGGGGGCCGCCCGCGTTCCCTGCGGGGCTCCCGGGCCCTGTCCTGAGCCCCCCTCGTGTCCCCGTGCCCAGGCGCCGGCCCCGGTGGCGGATGTGCCGGAGGTGAAGGTGCTGGCCCTGTCCCCGCGCTGCTGGCCCGTGTCCCCCTTCTGCTACATGGAGGACCCCGGGAGGTTTTTCCCCGCGGCCCTGAGCTCCCCCCTGGAGGAGTTTGCCGAGTTCTGCCGGCGGAGTGAGTGTGGGGGCAGGGGGTGTGCGTGGTGAGGGGGGGGTCTGGCTGGGGCCGACCCCTGGGCAGCAGCTCGGGTGGGAGCGCCGGGGGGTGCTGGGGGTGCCCGTCGGAGCTGGCCCCTGGCCCCTGGGGTGACGCTGCCTCTGTCAGGCCAGAGCCAGCTGGGCTGGGAGTGCAGGAAGCCCCGGCGGTTGCAGTGGACGTGGCTGGGCCGTGCCGAGCTGCAGTTCGGAGACTGCGTCCTGCAGGTGTCCACGCTGCAGATGTACATCCTGCTGTGCTTCAACAGCGCCGAGGTAGGAGCTGGGGCCGCGCTGGGGCGAGGGAGGCGGCGGATCTGGGGCTGCTGAAGGGGTTGAAGCTGTGGCAGGGCCACGTCCTCCCTTGGGTGAGGTCTGCCCTGGTGGTTGGGGCACGGCCCCCCCATGGTCTTGGCTGCCATTCCCCTCCCCTGCCCTCCCGCAGGAGGTGGCTGTGGAGGCCCTGCTGCAGGCTACGGGGCTCCCCGCTGACCTGGTGCACCACGCGCTGACACCGCTGACCCACGGCGAGGGCATCCTGGTGTGGAGATGCCCCCCGGGAGGTGAGCGTGGGGCCGGGGAGGCGCCGGTCCGAGCCCCCGGTGGGTGCTGGGGTCGGGGTGCGTGTGGGGCGGGGGGAGTCTGTCTGTGGGTGCTGGGGGCGCAGGTCCGTGTGTCAGTGTGGGGCCTGGGGCCGTGCGTGGGGCTGGGGGTGGCATCTGGGGTCAGCGTGGGTGGCCGGGTCTCAGGTCCGTGTGTGGGGTTGTGCGTGGGGCTGTCGCTGGGGGCCGCGTGTGGGACACGGGGCTGGGGCTGCGAGGGCAGCGGCGGGAGGCCCAGGGTCGGTCCAGCAGCCACACGTGTGTCCTGGGGCTCCCTCAGGGCCCAGCTCGGGGCTCGGCTGACCCTGGGCCGGGTGCTAGCTCCAGGTGTGCTGCGGCTGAACCAGGCAGCCCTGGCCCACGCCTCCGGCCGCCCCCTGAGGCTGCTGCCCCGGCAGAGGTACCTGCGGGCAGAGAGGGCTGAAGTCAGCGCCCTGGAAAGGAAGAGGAACGTCCTCTGCTGCCTCATCACCCGCATCCTCAAGGCGGAGAAGCAGCTTCACATCGACAACCTGGTGTTCAGGGTATGGAGGGCTCGCGGGGCAGAGAGGGGCCGCCCGGGTGCCGCGCCGCACTGCAACGAGGGGCTGCTTTGCTGCCGTAGGTGATCGATGCCTGTCAGAAGGGCCAGTTGGGACCAGGGCTGCAGTTCCTGAGCTTCTGCTGCCACAGCGTGGACGTGCTGTCTTGTGTCCTGCACCTGCTGAACCAGGGCTATCTCCGGCGCCAGGAGGAGAGGCCTCACGTCTTGGAATACATCTCTGCTGAACCCACCACACCTCTTGGGGGTCAGGCACAGATGGTTTTCCAGGGCAGGCCACCAGAAGCGTCTCTGGATGAGGACAGCACAGACAGCCTGTATTGGTAGGGATTCATGTCACCGGGTGTGGAGGGGTGTGAGTCCTCACCCTGTAGGGACGTGACACATTTCTCCATGTCAGGTTGAATCCTGGCATAAGCAGGTCGGAGGAGTTTCTCATGGCAATGCTGCAGGTGCCAATGGGGCACACCCTTAGCCCAGAAGAGGTGAAGCTGCTCATGAACCAGACAGTACAGCAGGTCCAGGATACTCTGAGCATCCCGAATGATGTTGCTCAGCACCTCCTCATGCACTGCCGGTGGAACGTGGATTTCCTGATCCAGTGCTATGTGGAGAACCGTGAGACCCTGCTCATCTCCTCGGGGCTGCAAGTGCGGGATGTCCAGCCTGCCCTGAGCCCAGGCGCCCACTGCCCAGTCTGTGTGAACCAGCTGTGTCCCACTGAGAAACCACCGACCCTCTGCTGCATGCACTACTGCTGCAAGGTGAAGGTCCTGGGGTCTTTGGCTTCTGTAACGTGGTAGGGAATTGCTGTCTGAAGCTGTTACCCGATTATTTTCACAGAGCTCATACATTCTCTTTTCTCAGCTCTCTTGTTTGTTATGATAAGAACCTCATGAGGTTCAACAGGGAAAAGTGTAGGGTCCTGCACCTGGGGAAGAAAAATGTCAGGTACCAGTACAGGTTAGGGGTGGACCTGCTAGAGGCAACTACTGAAGAGAAAGATCTAGGGGTCCTGGTGGACAGTAAAATGACAATGAGTAAACAGTGTGCTCTTGCGGCCAGGAAGGCCAATGGTATCTTGGGTTGTATAGGGAAGAGTGTGGCCAGCAGGTCAAGGGAAGTCATTCTCCCCCTCTGCTCTGCACTGGTGAGGCCACAACTGGAGTACTGTGTCCAGTTCTGGGCTCCCCAGTTCAAGAGGGACAGGGAACTACTAGAAAGAGTCCAGCGTAGGGCAACAAAGATGATTCAAGGATTGGAGCATCTCCCTTATGAGGAGAGACTGAGAGAGCTGGGACTCTTTAGTCTGGAGAAGAGAAGGCTGAGGGGAGACCTTATCAATGCCTACAAGTATCTCAAGGGAGGGTTGAAGGAGGAGGGAGCCAGACTCTTTTCAGTGGTTCCCACTGAGAGGACGAGGGGCAACGGGCACAAGTTGGAACAGAAGAGGTTCCACTCAAATATGAGGAGAAACTTCTTCACAGTGAGGGTGGCAGAGCCCTGGAACAGGCTGCCCAGGGAGGGTGTGGAGTCCCCTTCCTTGGAGATTTTCAAGCCCCACCTGGATGCAGTCCTGAGTAACATGCTCTGACAAGCTCTAGGCAATCCTGCTTCAGTAGAGGGGTTGGACTAGATGATCTCTGTGGTCCCTTCCAACTCTAAACAAAATTCAGTGAAATTCAGTGAAAAAATTCAGTGATCCTTCAGCTCCTTATTAGTCTGTTCCCACTAATGTGCTTTTTTAGTACTTAGCTGTGGCTCGTGGTCGTTTGTGCACCCTATGGTGGGGTTGGGGTGGGCTTCCAGAGTCAGAGGACTCAGGTGGTGCTGCTCCTGTTTAGCTCTGATCTCTCCTCTTTTGCCTTCACAGCCCTGTTGGAGAGAGTATCTCACGACTCGCATCGAACAGAACATGGTTGTCAACTGTACCTGTCCCATATCCGACTGCCGTGCACAGCCAACGACAGCCTTCATCTATTCCATCATTTCCTCCGAGGAGATTATAGCCAAGGTAAAGTAGGAGAGGTGGTTATGGGTGTCCAAGCTCTGTTTCGTTTTCATAGAATCATAGAATTGTCCAGGCTGGAAGGGACCTCCAAAGGCCATCTAGTCCGACCCCCCCGCAGTCAGCAGGGACACCCCCAACTAGACCAGGTTGCCCAGGGCCTCGTCAAGCCTCACCTTGAATATCTCCAGGGATGGGGCCTCAACCACCTCCCTGGGCAACCTGTTCCAGTGCTCCACCACCCTCACAGTGAAGAACCCCCTCCTCAT